CCTGAATTGGTGGTCGAAACTTTGTTAATTGGCGATAAATTAAACTGAGGTACCAATTCCCCAAGTCAAGACTGGTTTTCCTGCAACAATAACCAGTAGTCTATGAAGCAGCCAGTTGTCAATGAACAAACCTTTGTCTAGCCCATATGTACTGTGTAGAATCTGCTAATTATCTTTGAGGACATTTTAAGCTGGTTAGAGCAGGTGATGTTTCAGACCTAATGAATCAATAGCTAAATCTACTAAGTAATGCTAAAGATGAATTTCTGAATCCGTTGAGTATCTATAGCGATTTAACACATATTATCATACTGATGATAATCTAATCTCAGCTACAAGGAGAATATAACTCAATATGATGGTGTGCTCTACTATATTTTAAAGTCACCTTGTAAAACTATTTGGAAGGTTCTGAACCAGGCTCCAAGCGGCTAGAGCTTATTGCTACTCCTCATTTTTTCTCTTGAAAGCACTTCCCACTGAAGTAAGAGCAACCCAAGCCAGTTTGTGCCTATTTGTACGTCTTTGTATGTCTTATCTTACTAAGATACTAGATTGAAAAATATGCTATGCAATTAGATTCAAAAATATGGCTTCAGTTAGACCATGATAAAGCATACAGTTGATCACAATTTTGAAAGCATCCTCTACCTGCCTTCAGTACTTCAGAAGAAAAAATTTGAAGCATGTAGGAACATTGTGCAGAAACTCTGTTTGTGTTTGGTAGTAGAGAGGAGTAAAACAATTTGAAAGTAGAAGGATTTAAAGGTCCAATTGAAGAATTCACCTTGGCTTTACTTGAGACTTTAAGAGAAGAATAATGCATATGCAGAAATGTCCAAAATGATTTTTTCTGAATAGTACTTGGAACATTTTATTCTATATATTTCAAAATATCTCCTCAACATGTGAAACTTTCATTTAATTATTAGTTGTTTTGGAATGATTTCCCTTTGATCCCAGAGAGGAACTGAAGTGCAAGTTCAAGTAGCATAAGAAGTTCAATCTGGCTTTCAGAAAATGTTCAGAGGTGCATTTCTTTCAGGTAGATTCCTAATGAGGTTTATAATCCTTTTTGAAAGCAAAATGGAATTACGTGCAGTAAGGTCTTTTAACACTGGTGGCCAGCATTAGTGGCCTTCCAAAGAAAGTAACCTAAAAAGACTGATAACATTTTGACATAAAGGAGTGAATATTACAAATTTAAAAAAATTGTATACCTCTTAATTCTCAGTTAAAAGAAGTTCCTATACTGTAATGGAGGGAATGTCTTTCTAGCAGTCTAATAAAAAGAGAACTAGAAGGATTGGTAGCTTCAAAACATGATGGAGAAGAAATCTTGAGCTGCTTTCTTGGATTTCATTATTTATAGGTGTAGTTGGTAGTGTCAGAGGTCTCAGTCTTTTGAGAACTGGGGTGGGTTCAGAGTAAAAAAACTGTCACCTGTGTTCCCACAGAGAAACTTAGGGGACTCATACATAGCAGGGACTGAACATTTTTTGCTGCTGTAATTCTTTGATAACTTCCTTTCCAGGAAGTCTGTAGCTTTGTTCACCTCGGTCCTTCTGCCCTTTCCTGCTGTTGGCCTCTCAACCACAAGTTCTGCTCCACTTGGAGGGTGCTTGTGCTCATTGCTGTCTTGGCTGCATTTGCTGTCTCTTCCTTGCACCACCTGCCAGTGTTAGAACAACTAGAGGAAGAAGAGATTTGGCAAAGATATGACTTATGGAAAGCAGATAACATGGTTATTTGAGACTTTAACTCAATAAGGGAAGAAGTTCTGATGCTGAGTCAGTGAAGGAACAGCCCTCTCAGACTCAAGAAGAAAGTAGTGGAGGCTATCAAGTAGGTGACTGCATAAAGGAATGGGAAGAATGGGAGGAAAGATGAGTTCTCTGAGTGGGGCACCAAACGTGAAGGGTGAGAGGAGAGCAGAGAAGGCTAAAGGGTGTTTATTGCATGATAGCAACAAAATACATTTAAGTTCCTGCCGTATTGAGTTGAAAATGTATCTGATCTTTTTTTTTTTTTTTTTTTTTTTTTTTTAATTGGAAAAGAAAAAAAGGGGGGGGGGGTGGTGGTGTCGGTACTAGCAGACCACGGGCTTTATGGTGAGCTAAGAACATGGGTCTCGGGTCTTGGCTTGGCTTTTCTTAAAAAAAAAAAAAAATTTTTTTTTTCCCCCCGTTTTTTTTTTAAAAAATTTTTTTTTTTTTTTTTTTTTTTTTTTTTTTTTTTTTTACATGGAAGAAGGAAACAGGGACTGGATGTCTATAGAAGAAAGGAGGAATGCAGGAGTGTGTTTGCCTGCATTAGGAGGGAAGGTGTGTGACTGCTCCTCTGAGAGCTGTTTAGGGACGGAATGGTAAAGCCTTTCCATTTATGTATCCTAATTTTGGAAGGATGTTGAGATGAAATGGTGAGGGCAGAGGAGTGACAATTCAGTGGAAGGTGCTGCATAAGAAGGAGTACATGAGGCAACACTTGATCTTAAACAAGTGAAATTAGTGACTGGTGACCCTGTTCAGTTCTTACAGTCTAATAGATGTGGAGCTCCCTTTCCTTACAAAACTGCAGCTGTAGCCATGTTTGTATTTGTTCCTTGGTTTCTGGCACATCCTAACTCTGCTTTCTCAGCACCTCTGCAGCTTCTCTCTAAATATGATCTCTCCTTTGGCTTTTAACTTGCTGATTACGTCTCTTACTACTACATACATCTCATAGCTAACCCAGTCTGACTGCAGTTCTTCAGCATGCTACCCTTGGGAATCACAATCAGTATGTGCTGTCTTGGGGGTAGGATTGCTATCTGGAGCTTGCTCTGTGTAGTTTATATGCCCATAGTGCCAAGAACATCTGTTCCTCAGCGATTTTCAGGGGAAAATCGTAGAATGTTAAGTGTAAAAACACATAAACTGGAGAGAATACTTCTTACTAAATTGTCAGATTGATTCTACCTAAAGGCCTTGTAAAATTTATTGTGGGTTTTAAGATAGAAGCAAACTCAAATTGTAAATTAACAGGAACCTTAAAGGAAGCATATTTTTTTCCACCATAACATTGATTTATGAATTGCTTTATGCTAGCAGACTTGAGTTGTGTCAGACTGAAAATTGTTTTTTGTGGTAAAGCCAGGAAAATAATGTATTCGTTGCTGCTGCTTGGGTGTCTGCAGAGGAAGCAACACATATGGACTGCTACTACTAATGCAGAATTTGTACTGTTTCATAATATCAAAGTATAGCTTTGAGAATTTCACAAGAAAATGTTTAAAAATTGTAATGTTTAATCTCAAAGTTTTGTAATATGACTTGAGAGAAAGCGTGATCCAGTTGAATGCGATGGGTCAGCATGGATTATTAAAACTATTAAAAGGTACTTTACATGGTTGCAAATTTCAACTTTGCCGTTTAGGAAGCTTTATATATAGTTTAATGAAAACTGGTTTCCTAAGTATCTGTTTTTATTTTAAATCAAACTTTTATCCATACCTGCAGTGATATCGGCTTGCTTCCTTATTTACCCTGTTTCTCCTATGGTCCACTTACTGGGTGAGGGAATGTAAATACGGTGGTAGTCTAGAGCTGTGTGTGCTCTGCTTGGTCAGTTTGAATGTGACTGCTGAGTGCCTGGGTGGGTGCTGCCTTATAGAAGAGGTAACTGTTCAGCTCTGATGCTTTTTCTCTCTCTCCAGAGTAGAGGAAGGAACAGGAGTTTGGGATTCTTGTCTCTACCTAGTGATTGACTTGCAAGCATGTGTGTGTTTTGTGTCTGCTTACCTCTGAAATTACATTGAAATCATCCAAGAGATGCAGAAATTGCTAGAGGGAAGACTGACAGATAGGTAATTTTATCACAGAAACCTTGTTTTCTTGGGTTTAAAATGTGTATGGAATGTTAGTCAGGTCTTTGGTGTGTGTGTGTGTGAAATACTTGGACATGTTAAAGCAGTTTCCTTCAGAAATCAGAATAATATAAATTTTTCAATTTGTTTGGTATATTTGTAAAATAAATATAGTGGAGAATTTGCTTTTTTCTGTAGGAAAAGGCAAGATTTGTGCAAGAGAAAAGATCGCTCTTCCCACTATTGTACCATGCTTTAAATGTGGAAAACATAAGTTGAAGGGTATTGATTGCATGCTTTATCTTGTGTGGTAGCTCAGTTCAAAATGGTGCTAGCTTTCAACATTCCTTCAGGATAGTATTGATTAATGTAAAAAGTGCTTTCACTTTGCCACATTATATTGTGGTGCATCCCAGAGCTAAAATTCAGTACAAAAAAGTTATGATTTTTTTCAATATTTACTCCAGGACTTCAGCAGGTGAAGAACAAAATTCATGTTTGTATGTGCATTCCTGTACCATTCAGGATGACAGGGTGCTACAGCTGAATATTTGTGGTGTTTCTGAAGGGCTTCCTATCTATAGCACTGTGGCTTTAAAAAAAAAAAAGGGGTAAAAAAAAGACAATTGCATCAGAGATGTTACCAGAAATTAGCAGCTTTGTCTACACCTTTCTGTGTAGAAAATCACTGTTGACTTGTCCAAGGAAACCAACTAGAAATATTGGCAAGGAACTAGAGTGTCCTGGATAAATCATGTGGATTTTTCATCTATAGATTTCTTTTTGAAGACTGCTCGTTGACGGATATTTGATTTCTTTTTTAAATATCACATTATCCATTACATTAGTTTTGAATTTACTACTGTTTGTAGAGAGAGACTAGAATTACCAGTAATCATCTGTCACTTTGAAAACATGCATGACAGGCTGGATGCAGCTTGCAGCTTCATTTCATGTAGTGACTCCTTGTGTTATTACTGGAGAATATTAAGATTGTATTTATTATATGACTTGCAAGACACATTTGAGGAGCCTGTTCTGCCTCTTGTGGCGAAACATTTCCTAATATTGGGTATATTCTGAAAATATTCTCAAATTTATGGCGATTTAAATTCCACCAGTTTGTCTTTAAGTAATTGAATTTTATCTTTCAGCAGGCCCGACAGAAGGTTTGGGAAAAATAATACAAAGATTTCCTCAGAAGGACTGGGAAGACACTCCTTTTCCACAGGGAATAGAGCTGGTAAGTTTGCATTACATTTTATAATTTTTAGAATTTCCTTCACATACCATTGGAAGATACATCTGCCTTCATGCAATGATCTGTATTATCTAACCCGACAGGGAATGGATAGAAATTATGTGTTTAGACGGGATAGATAATAGCTTTAAGAATAATAATTTTGGCTAACAGAAGATAATTTATTCTGGTCTGTACCACTAAGTAGATATTCCTAGAATACAGAAAAAGTCTGCTGCAAATTTAGAAACAGTGTATTTAAAATAAATGTTTATTTGTGTCAGTAAGTTTCTCATTGACTACGTTTTTGGAAGCAACCTTCAGATGGCAGATGACTTTTCATTGTCATGTTCAAACAGATACAAATGTGTATTTGTATATTGTAAATTTAAAAAAGAATTGAAAATAATATTCCAATAAACTGGCTTGATTAAAATGGTCGGTCTTTACCCAGTATTCTGTCCTTGACAGATGGCATAATGGGTGCTTACAAAAACGGTACACTGAACAAGGCTAGTAGTGAACAGTGATCTATTTTGAATGCCCTCTCTGAGAATTCACTGAGTGCCACTTCTTTCCCTTCCTTGCTCTCATATTGTGAGATGCAATGAAAAGGTATATCTTACTCATCCGGATCAGGGATTCATTAAACATATGTCTCTAAAAATCCTGCAGAGAAATGAAATACTGTGGTCATACTCTGCAAATTAGGTTTCTGAGAAGTCAGAGTGAAACTCTTACTGCCGTGAACTTAGGAACTTCTGGGACAGGATGAGCTAGAAAAGGAGATGGCTCTAGGAAATGTTGCAATAGAAGTCAACAAAATCAGCTGCAGAGGACAAAGACACTGACTCTTCACTGAATTTATTACACAAATACAGCAAAGCTTTTACCAGTATGATACCTTTCAACCAGTGCTCAGCTCACTTGCTGAGTCATAACATGCTGCTGGCCATGTGTTGTCTTCTCCAGTGAAAGAGAGGGGAGGGGATCTTGGTGTTTACTGCTTGCTGTCTGGTGTAGCAGAGTTTTATGGTGTTCGCTGTGTGCTGGTGTACGCGACTGGTTGCTCGTTTTCTTCAACAGTGTGGTTTTCATTTCTTCATAGTCAAGCATAAGCCTTGTGTTTTGGGGGATGTCATACGTTAATGACTGGTGTAAGCATTATTTCTGATACACGTGATGGATAGTTACAGTGTTTGTGGTACACTTGCATAATACTAAATTTGGCAATGTAGTGCTGTGCTGAAACAATGGAAGCTCCTGCTTTCTCTGAAGTGCTTCTGCTGCTGTTACAACATTACACCACTCTGTATAGCAATTGCTGTTTGCTCTAGCCAGTAATTCTCTACTTAATACATGCCTAGCCAGCATGTGCTCGATGACTGCTGACCGAGTTCAGATAAGTGGCTTTTTTATATAGCACACACAGTTGTAGTTCATTAGAAGAGAAATAAACTTTTGATGCCAAGGCTTAGGGGTGTTTTCTTTTTTTGACCACTCTCTTGGGGTTGAATTAGGTGTTTTGATCTTGCCTTAAACAACTGGAAGAGCTTGAGTCATACTAAGATTTATTTGTCATATAAATATTCCTTACCTATTTCAAAGAAAGTAATGTGTCTGACTTCCAGTGATGTTTTGAAATAAATGAGCACAGCTTCTCTTAAAGCAGTGAAGCTTCTTAAGTGATATATCTGTACCCAAATGTTATTTCCCATTTAAGGTTAATTGTAAGATGTTAGCACTAACGAGAAATACCTTTCTAAAGGAAGATTTTTATTTTTCTTGGTTGAACAAAACATTGTTTTTGTATCAGTTCTCAAATGATTAATTACACAAAGCCATTAAGACTTCCCAAGTAAAGTGAAATTTGGCAACTTAAAAGTTAAGGACATCTATTCAGCCAGTTGGCAAAATTAATCAAATTTTGATTTGCTTTCCAAATGTGGTAATAAAATTCTAATTAATTAAGGTCGAGGAGTTAGAGATATTGGGAAGATCAAGTACTAAAGTAAATCACTTATGAAAGTCAGATTTTGGCAGGATGTGTTTTTCAAGGTTTTGGATGAGTGTAACATGAATCAACATTAATTCATGGAAAGGAAAGAAGAAAAGCTATGTTACTGTTTTCTGTTTGTCACCTTAAAGGCAGCTTTAATATTGTTAAGAAGGTAACAGGCAAACCGGGGGGGGCAGGGGGCAGGAAGGTAAGAATTGAACAGTTGACATAAATGTATATGAGAATGAAGGTAGACATTTTTATGAATAGCACTTAGTTCTATGAGTAATTTGAGTTAAAATCCTCTTAAGTGTACTTCCTCTCCTTTCAGTGAAGGATCTTTATGGAATTATATGGTTTCTCTGAAGTGGAAAAAAAGCAATGGTTTGTATCTGAAAAAGATGTTAAGCTCTATTCACTGTGTTTTCATGAAGGGAAAAAAGGCCAAAGCTGTTCATGCCTAACGATAGGACTGAAGGGAGATCTGATTTTTGAGTCTTGGCTTCTGCCAAAGTTAGTTCTTCTGCCATGAACCATGGAGACCGTCAACTGATTGTTGGTGAAGATCTCACCGTCCCCCCTTGCTCCCTTTTATAAGGCAAATTATTTCCCTGTGAATTTGGACATTTGGATGTCCGAGTTTTTTTGCCAAATAATACCGGTTGAATCAGGTAATTCATCTTGGCAGCTGATGGGTGATATGATTTAATAGTTGTTTCCCATTCATGTTGTTAATAGTATCTTATGAAACAAGGTGGGGGGGGAAATAGTGGAAAAGACCTATCTCCCCCCCCCCCCCCACGCTTTTAAACTTTAGGGAGGAAAGAGCTCTGTTTCGCACTCTCGGAGCCTGTTTGGACCCCTTGTGATCTCCATAGCTTGTAGAGATGCCATTAGTCCAAGCTCCAGCCAAAAACTTATGGACAAAATCCTTTGAGACTTTTGTGGAGGGCTGTTCTCTTTCCCCACCCCGCATGCCCCCTACCTTTCTGGGCTTGAATTCATGTGGTCAGATTTCTGAGACATAAATTAAGACAAAGTAGAGAGCAGAGTTGTGCAGGTATTTTTTAAGTTAAATAGTAAAAACACTGCAAATAGTATTTTTCATTTTGTTGAGCCCAGTTTTGAAAAATGGGCTAGCATGGGAAGATCTGTGCCTAATGGACCTGCCCTTGGCTGAGTGAAAAGGGATCGTTTTGAGAACATCTTATCTAGGAAAGATGATGACCCTGTTTCAACTTTTACTTTTAGCCTTGGCTGTATTTGTAGTTTTGTTAATTTGAAACAAATATGTAGAGAATTGGGTCATTATAAAATGTAATTGCAGTTTGAACTTTACTGAAGAGTATTTGGGGTGTGTATATATGTATTCTGTATTAAAGGATTAAGAGTTACTTTGTTTCTATTTTTATGTGTGTAGCATGTTAGCTATGTTCTGGTCTTGTTTAACAAACACGTAAGTTATGGAATAAACATGTTGTCCAAAATTCAACAGAAATACTTAATGATTTTTTTATTGAAATCACATGTTTTATTTTGCCTTGTTAAATAAATTGTGTGCCTTTTGGTTGTCAGTGGTAAGTGAGCAAAGCCGTGAGTTTCTGTTGAGGGAAAGATACTGTCAGTAGGTCTTGGTCAGTGTATCTTTATAGAGCTTCTACTTGTCTACATCTCATCAAATTACCTAGAGAGATTTTTCTTAATCTTACACTCGTTGCATTTGCCATTTCTCTAATGGCTTCACAGCTTTTAACTTTGTTCTGTTTATAACTGAATATAGAAACTTTGATAACTGAGCCACCTGCAAATTGCTGTGAAACATACCTGAAGATTTTTGTAATGGATTATTGATCATCACAGTAGCTAGTAAAGACCCTAATACTTTTTTACCGTTTGTAGAATTGTGATATAATTGAGAATAAGGTATGATATTTGTTACTATTATATGTGATACGTATTGACTGTTACTTCAAAAGCAGTAAGATGCTGCTGTTTGATTTGCTAGAACCTTTTGTGGGCTTTCCAAGAGGAATATGGGACACATTTTTTATAATTTCAGCTTAGAATCTGAGCATCTTCAGTTTACTGACAAAGAGCACTCCATCTGCAGTTTATTGACAAATACAAGTCAGAGTGAGTTTTCTCAAGTTTCATGGAAGTAAGCTGACTTTGAGGAGTAAGGAGAGATTTATACTCATTCTTAATAAAGTACTTGGCTCAGAAAAGCATTTCAGTCATTGGTTTCCAAAAGAATGCTGTTAGAACATACCAGTCTGATAGTTGCCCCCTATAATATTTTAAATGAACATGTTTGGGTATCCTTCTCCATTGTCTGTTTCAGAGAAGTTATTTCAGCTTTACACAGGTAGAGCTTAAGTCTAAAAATAACCCTCTAAAATCAGCTGAGACATATAGAGCAGTTTAAAATTAGGATAGTCAAGCTTCTTGTTCTTGCTTGTAGAAAGAATCCTTGAGAGAGTATGTTGGTTCAATGAGTTGGCTTTATATTTCTGCATATTTTTCTTATTTATAATCCAGTTTTAATTCTGCTATACACCTTTCTAGACATCATAATTAGTTACACATCAAAGGAGGAAGCATTGGTATGTAATGTTACACTGTATACTCATTTTTGTCCCAGGGCTAAATTAGCTAAACTAAATGTCATCTGCATTACTCAGTGTTGGGAGGCTAACGTTAATTAGGCCAATGAAAGTCATACCTAGAAATAGATAGGTTGGCTTAGTTTAAACTAGATATAATGTGTTTGTGCAGTTTGTGAGTAGCAGGGAAGAAAATTTCCCACTGTAACCGGTGATGGTGGTAGTGTCATGAATTAGTAATTTTCATTTCAAGTATGTGCAGGTATAGAAATGAACATACGTTTCTAGACGAGCTAATCACCTATTCAAATAATTACTTAAATTATAAAATGTAATTGTAAATTGTAAAAATTGTTAATACAATCCTTTGAAGACAGCTTACCTGTATTATGATACCGAGA